CTTCTACGGAGTCCGCCATGTTTGTACAGTAGCCCAAAACAGTCCAAACGCTGAATTTTGGTTTTAGTTTCTCCTACATGCTGGGACCAGGGAGGGTGAGACGACGGGGTTGTAATCTGCAGTTACACCACTAGAAGCCACTAAATCCTACTGAACCTTTAAAGCCACTGTGCAGCATCTTTTAAATTTCGAACTTTTGCGCCCTCCGGTGGTTGAACTGAAAAGATGTTGTGGCAGACCGCACTGTGCGCCGTCACTCATCATTTCTGTGACTGTAATCCAGCTGAATGACTCCTGTGTTGTTAGCATTAAGTATTAATATTCAAAGCAGGCACTTCAAATCCTTTCTAGAAAACAAACTGATAACTTCTTCGTACAGCTTCTATACATATGTGTGTCTTTCTTTCTCTGTCTTCCTCTCAGCATCATGGCATCTGGAGGCCCCATGATGAACGGCGACCTCTCTCGCTCTTCCAGTCAGTCGGGCACGCTGGAGGAAACCCTGCAGCAGATGAACATCCTCATCCAGGAGAACAGAGACCTGAAAGGTGAGAGTGGGTCAACAACAACAACAACAACAACAAGGAAGTTTGGGTGGCGTTTCAGGGTTGTAGCGTGACAGACCAGCTAGAGTAGTGTATGGGAGTCCTGATAGCTAGGGAAAGAGCCATCATTCAAATGACCTGGCTCGTACAGTGTGCATTTATTCAAATTCTGCGTGTGTCTCCCGCTCAGAGGCCCTGCGTCAGACCAACCTGACGATGAAAGAGCGCTTCGAGGGTCTGTCTGCATGGCGGGAGAAGCAGCGGGAGGAGCGGGACTTCCTGGAGAGCAGGCTGGAGGAGGCTCGGGGCCGCATGGAGGCGCTAACTCTCCAAAACCAGGAGCTGAGCAGGAGAATGGGGGAGGATGGGAAGAAAGAAGGAGCCCCGGGAGGCTTTCTGGTGAGGGTGTACTGATACTACTTTCTGTTTCTTTGTTATATTTTGGGAGAAAGCAGCTGAGAGCCAGCGATATGTTCCTTTTTAAAATGATGAAAATTCTATTATATACTTCCTAATGAGACTGTGCCTCATTGCACATTAAGTACTTTTGCGTTGGTGACATGTGATGTCATCTCCAGGGGGTGTCATTTAAGCAGAGCACAGAGCTGGAGGCCCTACGTGCCCAGGTTGCTCGCCTACAGGCAGAGAAGAACGACCTGGTGGCCATGAACTCTGAGCTACAGCTGAAGGCGGACCAGGACTCGAACGACGACTCCTTCATTGAGGTCATCAGGGTCTCGGTGAGGAGCAACACGCGATCCAAAACCAATAAAAATGCAGTTTCATTTGGTTGTTTTGATGACGCGTGTAAGCCAAAGTTTCAGATCTGACTGTGTGTTTTCCTTCTCAGGACGGAGGCGTGGACGGCATGAACGATATGTGTGGTTCAGAGCACAGCAGGCGTCCAGACGTGAGCATGACGGCCTCGCGTCTGGACAGCGAGGAGGTGACGGTCAGCCAGCTCCTGCAGTCACTGAGGAACGAGACGCAGCGGGCCGAGCGGCTGCAGGCCGAGCTGCAGTCCTCTGCTGCCAGGTAGAGACAGCTCGCCGCTTAATAACCCGTTCATGACACGACTCCTCACGTTTAGAGCATCAGGAAACAGTGGAGTCAGGCTGTTAGTGGTTCCATGTGCTATTTCCTCTAAAGTGGACCAAACTGGTTGTTTAAAGTGGAAAAATGGCAGGAAATGGCTGCCATATTTCTATTTTTGGCAGTAATCATCTGCTGTTTTTGCTGTTTTGCTTTCATAAAGCTCTCTGTTTTTTTATTTTTCAGTGCTTTTCTAACAGTGTTGAAACAAATTCTCCAACAGAATTAGAGAGCTGGAGGAGAGGAAGACTAATGTAGAGGAATCAACACAGACCACCCAAGCAGAGACTACAGAGACCAAAGAAGATGCTGGGAAAGAGGACAAGGTATTTACTCAGTAGTGAAAGTACTGAAACTAGCAGTGGTCAGAAGTGTGTGCAGAGTTGAAGAATGCGCGCAAGCTCTGTGTGAAAGGTGATGCATTTAAGGAACCTCAGTTTGACGTCTCGTCTCTGTCTATTGTTACTGATCTACAGCCCTATTATTCCCACAGCTGGCAGATGTTCACTGATGTCTGTAATGTTTTGTTTCCTTACCGTAATGTTTGTGTGTCATGCAAATATTTCAGGCAGCGTCTGAGGTGGAGAATCTGAGGACTCAGATGATGACACTGTTCAAAGAACTGCAGCAGGCTCAGAGCAAACTAGATGAAGCAGAAGGCATGAAGAAGAACCTGCAGGACAGGTTAGCCCCCCCACACACATACCTGTCGTATCTTAACCTGCAAACCATGTAGTGTAGGACAAAAATAATGCCGCTGAAGGTACAACACAAATGAAATGAAAAATGAAATGCTGTGAAAAGGATTTCTAAACAATGTACCCGTGTTTGGATCTTTAAAGAAAAGCAAACATATGCAAAGGTTTCCTCTCTTAATCGAAGTTCCTGTGCTTAATATTGTTCTGCACACTCTCTTGTGTGTAGATGTCGGGAGGTGGAGCAGGAGGTGGTCACTCTGAAGGCCCAGCTGGTGGAGAAACAGGCCGTTCAGACGGAGAACGACCGGCTGAAGCTGCAGCTGGACAGCATGCAGTCACAGAACCTGATGGAGCAGAGGAAGGCTGCAGAGGAGAGGTCAGAGTCAACACACACACTGTTTACAGAGACTTTGAACAAAACAAAACATACTACATGAGACCAGTTTCCACTGGAAATCCCCATCTATTTATATCCCAGTCATTTTTAGCTTATATATGGAGACATGCGCACACTGAGTCACCGGCATCCCCCTTTGTTCTTCCCACACAGGAACAACCTGACCCAGCTTAAAGATGCCTACACCAAGCTGTTTGAAGACTACAACGAACTCAAGGAGGAGAGGAAGAAGAGAGAGGTCAATTTATGTAGCATAATGAGGAGCCTTTTCTGATTTCACATAATCAAATCCTGCTGATTTCCACCAAACCAAATGCAGTTATAAGATTAGAAATGCCAGGCGTGTTTGACCTTTGCCCTCTGGTCCTGCAGTCCCAGCTGGTGCAGAAGGAGCTGGTGGACCAGCTGCAAGAACAGCTGACTGCTGCCGAAACGGCCCTGGCGGCTAAACAGGACAAGATTGATCAGATGAAGCAGGAGATCTTCCAGAAGGAGAAGGAGCTGGAGACCATATCTGTCTTCCAGGCTCAGGTCAGTGAATAAATGTTTCGATATCAATGTTGCCTTCTCCACATTTTGTTTAATTTAACCCCAGCATCTGGCACTGGACCCCAAGTATCAGACAGCACGGCTCCCTTCGGCTTCACGTCGGTCATCATGCTTTTTGCTCTCCTTTATGCAGGCCGAAGTCTACTCCTCAGACTTCTACGCTGAGCGAGCAGCGAGGGAGAAACTCCATGAAGAGAGGGAGCGTCTGGCCGCTCAGCTGGAGTATGTAAAGAAGCAGAACACCCATCTGCAGGAGGAGATGGACTCACTGGGCCGGTACGGAAAGGAGACAGAGTTTTCACGCCTGTAGTTTAGTTCAGATGGTCCAGACTAACGTAGATAAAGATACAGTACATAGTTCCCTTTCAGTTCTAGTCTGGTTCCTTTCGCTCACGAACCAACAGCTGTAAACACAAAGTTTTATGGGCCGACTGGTTACTCATTAATTAGACAGTTATGGTGATGTCATCCTGTGTCATCAATGCCACGTGGACCCGTGTAGGTATCAGATTCTGAGAGACTGACAGCAACTCATGCAGCAGGTAACTGAACCATATGATGTTCCCTTTGTGGTCACAAAGAAGTATCAGGATTAATAGTTGAGACTTGTGTGTCATAAATCTTAACAAATAGGACAAAACGGGAGTCTTGTTCTGTGATATTACAGGGGGATGGTTACTGTGTCGGCACTACATTTCACTCATTATTGAGGAACTGCTGAAATACAAAACAAAACACACATATGGTTTGACTCCTTTTCACTTACTGATACATTAGAGAAACCCACATGACATGACAAGTGAATTTTCCCATTGTGGGAAAGTTTCCATGATTACCAAATAATTTCACATAAATATACATATGTATGTTCCAGTTTTTTTTTTTTTTTTCCTGCAACAATTTTTCTTGTGTCCCTCCAACAGGCGGTCGCTGAATGAAATGCAGAGGAGACATGTGTCAATGGGAGGAAGTCCACACGGAGCCGCCGCAAATCTGGTTGGAAGAGGTAGGCAGGCAAACTTACTCTTAGGCTGTGTACAAATTCCGGTGCCTTCCTTCAAAAAGTAATTTGTCATCTTGGGAGATTTGTTTTCTTGCCAAGTTAGATGACTCATGTCTGTACGCTAAATATGAGGCTTGGGCCAGGAGACAGTTTAGATTAGCCTAGCATGGAAGGAAGGGGAAACACTTCTGGAAACACTCTGGAGGTTGTAGATAAAGGTTCTACATGGGGGGAGTCAGGATGAGACTCGAGGAAGTCTCTAGCCTGGCAAATAAATAATTCCAGCATGTAACTCCACATAAAACCACAAATTGTAGTTTTTGGAATAAACAAACCACATATAATATGTTAATTAGTTAGTTGGTTATTTAGACATGCTGGTGAGGCGATTTTCTGCCTTTTCACAGAGCCATGCTAACTGTTTCTGCTAAGCTAAGCTAACTGACTGCTGGCTCTAGCTTCATATTTAGCATACAGACACGAGTGTATATCAATTTTCTCATCTAACTCTGGGCATAAGTGTATTCCTCAACTATTCCTTTAACCATCTCTACAGAAACATGTTATTAGTGCAGCTTGTCATCTTATAGAACACAGTCTGAGAGCGTGCTAGTTTGACGGCTTACTTCCATATTGGGCTCGTTCAGGTTGTGATCTGTGTCTCTGACTTTCAGGTACTGACTGGCAGCATCAGGGCAATATTCCCGAACACGCCTGTCCCAAGTGCAATGAGATCCTTCCAGACCTGGACTCCCTGCAGATCCACATCATGGACTGCATCAACTAGACCACCATCATCACAAGCATCCAGGACAACAGCGGCTCCATTAGCACCTTAATCTGAGTCTTCCTCTGCTTTTACCTCTTCTCGGATCCCTGAGACGACACACCATGTTCCATGAAAAATTCGTTCTAGGATGGGAATTCTTTTAAAACAGTTGGTCCTCAGTTAGTTTAATTTAAAAATAGTGTATAAAGATTTGGACTAGAACAGGAAAAATATTGTAAGAGACATCTTGGAGGGTTTGGGCCCATGTCATCTGACACATAGTCTGTTTGTTGCTGTAACGAAGAAGGAAAAATGAGTCTGGAATATCAAACTGCACGAACACTTTGATAAATTGTTTGCCGCTGTCTGCCGGTGGTGCACACATTAGGTTCAGCCTATACAAGCATTTGATAACCAAATATTTGGTTGCTGAAGGGTTTCTTTTTTAATTACTTTTTTAAAGTTCCTTGTCAGATTTAAAATTGAATTCTTTCCATATTTTTTGCTTGGAAAGTATATTTTTGCTCGATTGGTTTGTTGGAGTAGGTGGGGAAAAAGGAGCATGCACCATGTAGGCACTTTAATATGACAATATATATATTTTATTTTGACTCTGCAGATGATACCTGGTAATAGAACGTAATATATTTAACTTGTTAATCAACCTGTCGCTGTAAGTGGCAGCCTTTGTAATGTATGCGGAGGAGGCTCCAACACCCTGTTGATTCTGTAGTATAAAGGACTTCTGTTCCATGTTGTAATTCTGTGAATGAAATTAAAATCCTCTGCAAATTTCTGTCTGCTTTAGTTCAAACCTGGGAGTATGCGTCTGAATAAGTATGTGAAAAAACACTTATATAATATTTTATATTCTAATACAATAGTAGTATAAAACATAGTGACATCTAAAGTCTTACAAACACCTTGCATGCGACATCCTTCTGTCTGATATCAACTTGTGTCAACTTTACCAAAATAGTTAGCTCTGTCGCAGTTGGTGTACAACAGATAAAAATGTGATTGTAAATTGCTCCTATTGAAGATTCTGCACAACAAACTGCACATATTTAAACTCCCGCTCTAGTGAATAGTTCATATTCATTTGATATTTTAGGAAATAATAAGATGAAATGTTTGGGGGTAATGGGAAATTCTGAAACTAATGAGTAAGCAACTCAGAAACCACAAAGTTCGGGTTGTGTTAGAGAAACTGAAAAATTAAATCAAAAACTAAAAAGAAGGGACTACTAAACAATCTCTCATTCATGTCTTTAGAAAGTTTACTATCACTAAACTAACCCTTACTTTAGGTTTCCAGGCGCACTTCTTCAATGCTACTAACCCAGCTATCAAATGCGTTGTTAAGTGTTGTTAACGGTTAATAAGGTACCGTTAGGACTGAGGTAGAGGTTTGAACAGCAGCGTCTGTGAACCCAACACAGGAAACCCACATCTGCACATAACCACTATATATTATATATAGTATATATAGTATATATATTATATAAAAGGAAGCCTGGGAGCTAAATATTTCTTTAGGCTCAGGTCTCAGTAAATACACACAAATATGTCACATAAGTATCATCAGCAGAAATGTACCTTGTTTCATGTGTTTTTTTTTTATCTCACATAAATGTGTACTTTGAAGAAATGTAGTCTTTAGATTTTGGTCAAAAAGTAATTCTCCGTGACAGAAACCTTCTTTTCAGTTAGGCAGATCGTTGGCCACCTGTGAGCATTTGACAACACAGCAGGGTCCTTCGTTTAGCGCCAGTTTCGATGTTCTCCCTCGCTGTGGGAGCCGGTGGTAAAGGTGACAATATGAACCTAATGCGTCCTTCTTCTCACATATAACCGGTGACTTTTACACAGATACACTCGGTGCTCGTTACCGGACACCCAGCAGCGTACTGACGTCGTTGTAAAAGCCGTCAGAGTTGCGTTAGAGCTCGCAAAGGACACAACGCTTTAACACTAGAACTCAGGGTAAGTTGGCTGTCTCATTATCTTTGAGTAAATACATGGAAAGCTACAGGAAAGAAGTGTTTGATTAACGTTTTATTTTGATATTCACAGAGGAAAAAAAGCGGGATTCATATCCCAAATGTCGACAGTTGTTTCCTGTAACTGTTAACCATGTTAAATGTTAAATGTTGAACTGTAGCGTTAGTTTAAATGGGTGGACCGAGGTCGATAGATTAAACATTAAACATCTTTCTAGTATAGACAGCCTGTGTGTTTTACCTGCACTGACCATATAGCCACTGTTTGCAGGGATAGACAGCATACACAGTAGGGATGGTGCTGCCACACTGTGATATTACTGCCACCATATGTGCTTATACAAACATATATTACCAGTAGACAGACAGTGCTTATACTGGTAATTTAACTGAGCAGATGAAAGTAATCTGAACGCAGAACTTTAACTATTGTCACTGAATATGAAATTAGTCTTCTACTCTTCTGTACAGTACAATATCTTGTAATAATAATATGGTTGAACCAGAGATTCAGAGAATGTAGAGAATATTTGATTTAGTTATTGGTGTAAGAAGTTAATAGTATCCACATTTCAGCTTGCATCAGAGCATTTGGATGTTATGTAGTGGAGTAAAACGTGACACAAAGTGCAAATAAAACCATGTAACTGCGAGAAGACTAACAGATGTGAGATGTGCTTATAAAGCTGTGTTATCTCGCTGCGATACAACATTATGCAAGATGAGATTTAATAGTAAACAGGGAGATTTGGTAATTGACCCTGACATATACAGTAAATTAGACCCCTTCATTGTGTGTCAGCTTTATTGCAAAGCTACACTCTTATTAAATTAATAAAAATAAAAAGCTCCTCTTTGTTTTCTAGAAAGAAAGCAGGTCAGGCATGCAGATTTTACTTTATTTAAAGGTCTATGTACAATTCCTTTTATTATAAGAGCTGCCGGTAATTCCAGTGTCTGTCTTCTTGTAGGTCACCAGATCTTCTGAAATCAGCTCAACACCTCTAAAATGGACAGTAAGTATCATGGGATTTAAAACACATGAAAGTACAGCTTTATGAATCTGTCGAGACATACGTTAAATTTCTCCTCTGTCCAGGTGAGGATGATCTGGACATTTTGACGGCGCTGCTGGCTGAGAGCGAGGGCGTCGGAGAAGAACAGGGCGGTCAGGAGCAGGCAGACGACTTGGACGACCTGTTCGACAACGACAATGATGAGGAGGAAGAGTACAAAGACGGCGCTGAGGACGAAGGGCAGGACGTGAAGAAAGCAGACCCATTGTTGGATCTCTTTGGCGATGTGGATGACATTGAAAGTGAAGAGAAAGACACTAAAGGGAAAGAGAGTGGAGGAGAAGCCTGTGAGAGCCTGGACAGGTCCAAGGAGGACTTACAAGGTTTGTGCCGCTGCAGTCTCTCCTCTAATCTGCTTCTAGCTGATGTACACTGTTAGTTCAGTTGAGCGTTTGCTT